AGGGGAAAGAGGGAAGGGGAGAGGGGGAAAGGGGGAAGGGGAGAGGGGAAGAGGAAGGGAGGAAGGAAGGTTATCGATAGTAAATCAATAGGCACTAAGGGAATTGATGATGAAACTGAAAAGCACATGCCTACATACGTACGATAGATTAAAAATGTTTCTTACAGGAGAGGTGCTATTGTTTCAGACTGGATGGAGAAGTTTTTTTTGAGTTCGTAGATCTAATATCTTATTAGCAGTTGTTGCAATCACAGTCACGGTACCGCTCATGTGATTATTCCTATCCTGCAGATGAAATACCTTTACAACGATTACGAAAAGTACTATGACGTTAGCTTATCAGGAGTGGCTTTCTCAAATAAAGACGGTAAAGTTGGCGTGGAGGCGAAGTTATGCATGGTTGTGAAGGGGAAAGAAAGTGGTTTCATCGAGACGGTGTTTACAGACAAAGTGAAGAGTGGTCAGCTTCATAATTTAAAGGTTGTGAGTGGAAGTGCCGAATTCACTCCAGAAGGTCAGTACATAATGACTAAACGACTGAAATGTATGACTTGTCGATCGTTTTTTTTATAATTTAATAATGTGGATTGAACTTGGCCATGACCTAAAATGCAGCTTGTCAGCCGACCACACGCGCTTTCAAAATGATTTTGATAACCAATGAATCGTTCGCATCTGTCGGGTCAAAGTTTCCTTTCATCGTCTTTCTGTCCCCCCTGAAAGCCATGTAGTCCCCCTCAAAAATTATCCGCTCCGCTGCCGCCACCCCTGCGCTCCCTTCCCCCCTCCCCCGAGCTTTCCGAACTACCTTAGACTTATATTTACAAAAATTAAAACTGATTTGAAATTTAACCAATGATATATTTGAAACGCTGGATATAAACTTAGCGCCTAAAGATCTTGCCTGGTTCTCGATCTCAGTATGATTCTGTGTATTGTGACTCGTCTCAAGATTTGTTAATGATTCTGATTTCCCTTCGTGATCGTTTGTCACAGGTGTTGAATTCAAGGACTGGAAAGCTAAAGATGGCGAATGCGATACGTGCAGCGGAGCCGGCGGTGAGTTCACTATCGAGAGACAATGTGTGTCAAAAGAGCACAGCTGCGACGGGTTGAAGGAGGAAAAGAAGACACAAGACTGCGTAGAGTACTGTCACGGTGGTACAGGTAAAAGACAATCTTGCAAGTAGTTGAAATAGTAACTTAGATAATTAAGATAATGACTCCATTCAACGGGAGAACTAAAGAACATTGTGAATAGCATTTAGACAGCAGTCGAAAGTAACGATTTCTTTTATCCGAGGCTTTCTACAGAACTTGTATCTGCAGCACCCATTTGATGTCGAAATGCACTAGAGGTAGTTGTATTCTCTTCCCGGTAATCGTTCGCATCCCATAACCTCTGTGCTTGGTTTCCTTTGAGGAGCGCGTTAGCCTCCGGCTCAAACAAGAGAAGCAACTGTAAGAAGCTGTTTCAGTTTGATTAAATTTTTTGCATTTTTAGCGCTTGCCAGTTACTTCTAGATCGCTTATTCTCTCGGAGAGCAGTGATCCCTAATATTTTATTGGACTGCTACGAAATGATTCTTTTAAAAGATAAGTAGTAAATCATACATGCAGAAGTTACAATGATCATTGTTTGCATTTTCGAACTTCGTGAAAGAATATCATAATCAAGTACAGGTTATGTGTTATTTTGAGTCTAGTCGAGCAAGAGTGACGTAACTGAACATTTCAGCAGCTCCATGCTCCTAATCAAACTAAGTTTATCTTCATTTGTAGTTGAAAATTTGATTTATTGAAATGTTGACGAGTGTGCTTATGATAAGTAGAGAACACAGAGTTCTTTTGAGTTATATTTCAGGATATTTTAGGCAAATTTAAAGCCTTAGACGTAGTGGACGTGTAAAAAGAGGTGTACTTTCTTAGCAGAAAATAATGTTTCATTAATTTTCCTTTTCAGCGGGCATAGCAGTTTCCCTTGTGGTCTTGGCTTTTGGGATGTTACTCTCGTTCAGGTAAAGGAAGTAACAACAATCCACCCTCCGAAAACGGTGCCTTTTCCTTTTCCCAACGATAACTTACCTTTGTCTCATAAAAAGGAAAGGGGGTGGGGTAGTTGCAGAAACAATCATTTCAGTCACCATTTCTTATTTTTCTCTGCTGATTCTGACGTATTCAGCGAATTTCAATTACCATTTACAACACCTTTTAAATATCCAAATTCTCAAATTTGTTACAATAAATCCTGATTATAACTCAACCATTCATTTTCCTAATTGAGTTCTCAATAATCGTTCACGTAAATAGAGATGTGCTGGATGATTTCCGTAACAAAATGCGTAATCTTAATCTAAAGATCCTCTCTCTATTCTCTTCCCTTTTTCTTACAAGTTTCAGCAGTTGAATTCGATTCCCAACATATACAAGACTTTTAGTACGGATATCCTTTGATCGAGGAGTGTTTAAAAGGAGTATTAACATTTTTCTTCCTTTTGCTTCGGATCCACTTTCTTTATTTTCAGTTCGCAGTAGGTGCTGAGTGGAATTGGAAATCAGACCTCCAAAGGAAGGAAACAAGATTTAACGTTACTTTCTACTTTATGAATCGTGCATTTTAACAGTCATTAGACTGCATTTTTGTAGGTGCATTAGAGACTCGTGTCTATCGAACAACGTGATGTCTTTCTTAAACTTTTTGGATAGAATTAACTATCTTTTTTCAAAAAAAGTGAGTCCATTAGATGTCTAATAAATAGATTTCATGATGCCTTCCCTCTTTTCAGTAATGCACGACGTCAAAATGTAGCAAGAACAAAAACGTCGTTGTATCATAGCTGTACATCAGATCCATACTAACATAGCATATTGTTTGTTTTTTGTAAAAAAGAGCAAAAAAAATCTTGATAGTGATTTTATCTGTGCGTCTTTTCTGACAAATAGATCTTATGTAAGAACTAATTAGAACGCATGCGTAATTAAGCTATTATATAAAAGCTAAAATAGTTTAAGAGCAGTTACCGAATCGTGACTGTTAGACTGTTATTCCTGAGTGAGGTAGTAAAACAAGAATTATTCCATGAAATCGTTTCCCCTTCTCAAGTTCAAGAATTGATTGTTTCAAGAGAAAAACTACTTTGAAAACTGCTAGTCAGTCTCTATTATACTTCTGACGATTAGCAAACGTAGCACTTAATTTTCTGCACTGAGTATCTTACTATCAAGGGTTTACCCAATCAGATCAACTAAAGACTGTGAAGTGGCTACGTTGAGGATCGACACCGCTGGGAGTCTTTGCTTTTTAATTTCAAACATTTTTCTAAATTTCAAATCAGAAAATTCCTTCATTTCTTTCCTAAACTGGCTACATCCTCTTGAAACTGATGCTCCTACAGCCCAACATCTCCAGCAGCTCATAGCTGAACACAAGAACTCAGCGATTCCATTTAGAGGTTCGTGGTGACTTAGGGTAAGGGTTTTGGAGAAAGTTTGAGTTCTTCGTCCACAAGATAGTGGGTATTCCACGCTTAACCCAGGCTTTATTTCAATGGAAACGAATTGTTTTGATTGAGGTGCACTATGATGACTTTGTCAGAATCAGTTACAGTTGACTGCAGCGTATAAGGTGCGATTAAAATCAGTTTTGGTAAATGCAATTGGATTTAAATGGATTAGAATGGATTTGAGTGAATAAAATTAGATTGGAGTGGATTGGAATGGACTGGTGTGAATAAAGCTGGAGTGGTGGGGATTGAGAAAATTATTTAAAATGTAGTTATTGATGACTTAACTTGACCAACTGTGGCAACTCGAACATGAAATGAGTAATCGGATGTGTTCTTCGTTGTCTTACCTGTTAAAGACAAGTATTTTACATCTCTTCGCTTGCATGTCAATGTGTTACCATGGTTACGTTAAAACAAAGCAGCAAAACAAGGAACTGAACAGTGTAAGATTCTTGGGTGTCAGGTTCCGTTGGAGACGCCGTTAAAATTCCTGTCGATCGCTCGCTTTGCTTCGTTTCGAACTATTCAGTCGCTGAATACATGTTTCCTGAGCGCATAACTGTGTTCCTATTTTTGGGTTTATCCTTCGCACAAGGTGTTTAAAATTTAACGCATTTCTCTCCGCTAGATGTGGTTGGAAGTTTCATTTGTAACACTCGTCGTGGACTTACAAAAAGGACGAACCATGATGTTTACGTCATGTAAAAGAAATGTGTTTGCCTTGGATAACTTTTCCACTTTGTGCAAAACAACCGGGAAATATTTAAATGCCAAGTTCAGTCTATTAGGGGATTCCTTAGAGCAAGGTTGATGCGAACGGAAAACAACACAATGTCAAGTTTAATCTCTGCCTTTCGAACAATCACGTCTACTAAATTTGAATACGTTCATTGTTGGTTTTTGTCGTAGACATCTCAATTTCGAAATCAGAAGTGAATTTTCCCGTCTTTTGTTTTCTGAGAACGTGGATCGAATTATTTTCAACCTGTAAGGGCTTTGAAGAAGTCATGCGACTTTTTTTCATCGAGGAAAACTGATTTGTTGCATAACAGTCAAGAAAACTTTGGTGTCGATCTGGCAGCTATTAAGTGGGT